TCCGAGGGGATTTAGTGGTTTCAGAAGAGGACGGGATTGTTCACAGGTAGCGCAGGCTTGGACCAGCAGTATCCCATTACCGTAGCACAGAAGCTACAGCCCATGCTAAAAGGCCAGCGCTCCTCAGATAACAGTAAAACATACAGAAATGGGGGCGGAAACAAAAAGAGCGTTGTTCCCGTCGTGAGACGGGTCTGGCGTTCCACGCAGGACCGGCTGCTGATAGAAAGCTGCCGGAAGCTTTGTGAGGGTTGTTCAAGGCCCCCTGCCAGGGCTGGTGATGTAAAAGGTAGAGTTGTAACAACACTTCTCATTCTTGGGGCTTGTAATGTGTGGTATTAACATGGGATATCTTTCGAGGCCTGGCAGCCCTTTTCTTCAAGATGTGGGTTTAAGAATCCATTTGGTTTTACTTTTGTCAGACCAGTTCTCTTGACATCTTTTTTTTTTTTTTAATTAATTAATATTTATTTTTGGCTGCGTTGGGTCTTCGTTGCTGCGTGCAGTCTTTCTCTAGTTGCGGCGAGCAGGGGCTACTCCTGGTTGCGGTGCGAGGGCTTCTCATTGCAGTGGCTTCTCTTGTTGCGGAGCACGGCCTGTAGGTGTGCAGGCTCAGTAGTTGTGGCTCGTGGGCTCTAGAGCGCAGGCTCAGTAGTTGTGGCGCACGGGCTTAGTTGCTCGGCGGCATGTGGGATCTTCCTCGACCAGGGCTTGAACCCGTGTCCCCTGCATTGGCAGGCGGATTCTTAACCACTGCACCACCAGGGAAGCCCTTCTGTTGACATCTTAAGTTGAACAACAAATATGGACACTTGAGGGTAGTGGGAGGGGGAGGTTGATGAGAATCATCTTGAAGATGCTTCCTTAGCGGTGTGTGGTCAGCATTTGAAGCTGTGCCTTCTTTTCTCTCTAACCGTTTCTTTCAAAGGCAGCCAGTAAAGAGCACCAGTTTACTTTGGGACAACATTTGACTGGCTATGTGGGTGGCCCTCAGATTTGACACAATGCGAGTTTGGAGGCCTTGACCCTGAATGTATTGCTAGCCCGGCAACAGAAGAGGATGAGTGTGGTGTGAGGGGCCTCAGTGTGAAGCTCACTGTGCCTCTTATTGGCTGTGTGACCTTGAGCAAGTCACTTAACCTTCCCGAAGCTGCTGCAAAATGTTGAGGGGTGAAAAGTAAAGGCTGTGTGGTCTGTGTCCTGGGTTTTTTTTTTTTACACTGGGTCTTAGTCCATTCAGGCTGCGTAACAAAGTGCCATAGACCGGCCGGCTTATAAACAACAGAAATTCATTTCTCATAGTTCTGGAGACTGGAAGTCCAAGTTCAGGGTGCCGGCATGGTCAGGTTCTGTGTCTGGTGAGAGCCAGCTTCCCACTTCACAAATGGCCATCTTCTCGCCGTGTCCTCACATGGCGGAAGGGGCAGGGGAGCTCCCTGGGGCCTCTTTCATAAGGGCACTGATCCCATTCATGAGGGCTTCTCCCTCATGACCTGATCACCTCCCAAGGGCCCCGCCACCTGATCCTGTCATCCTGGGCATTAGGATTCCAGCGCGTGGGTGCTGGGGGGACAGAAGCATGCACATCACGTCGCACTGCGTAATAACTTGTGTTCTTACTAATGCCGTCTTTTGTTGAGCCCTTGTCAACTTTCCGTCATCTTATTTGAGATGTATAAGCACTGTTTTGAGCTCTTAATTAAAATTAAAAAAAGAAAAAGCTCTTTGGCAGTCACAGATGTTATGATTTTCTTCACGAAATGGAATATATTAATATTTTAGAAAGTACCAAATCATTGAGTATATCCTCCGAATTTGACCAAAGTTTTAGAGGGAATTTGGAAAAAGGGAGAAAACTCCCAAATAAGTGAATTTTGCAGATGCGATGGAAGAGGGTGCCTGTCCTTTGAAGTTTTTGCTAGATGATAAAGCAGGTGGGCCCTATCTTGGCCACTGTGAGCAGGAGGGCACCCAGGGGTAGCAAGGGCCATCGCTGCACCTGGTGATCCAGTTCGGGCTTGACACCTGGGAGGTGTAGGTTTGAACCTTGGCTCTGCCAGATCTCAGCTTGTCCTCTTGGGCTACTTAATCTCTCTGAGCCTCAGTTTTTCCATTATAAAGTCTGAGAAGATTGTGCTCATCTCATAAAACTGTTGAGGGGATTAAATGAGATGACAGACATAAAGCATGCAACAAGACTCTGTCACCTAGTAGTAGGTGCCTGATACACTGAACTATTTTAATATGCTATTGATATAATTATATGATTTAGTCAAATAATATGTACTGTATCAAATATGGCTATATAAGGTTATATTTATATAATAATAACTTTTTACATAATTATATATTCTACAATAATACGTAACTATTTTTAAACAGTAGTGTTTCAGAGATTCCTAGAACTTTGAGATCATCTTCTCTAATAGCTTTCACACCTTTTAACAGTGGAATCTTTTCCCCTTTCCTTCCCCTCAAATGACACCTTCTGTGGAAGCAGACTGTCTGAGACGGAGCAAAGGGACGGGGTTGCCGAAGCAGGGGTGAGGGTCCCCGAGCCCTGTGTGGGTTCTCCCTTTACTCCAGCTCACCACTCCAGGACACCCTCGGGACAGAGTGAAAACAGCTGCTCTCGGTCAATCTTCATTCCTTTTCGAGGTCTCAGAGCCACCTGGGTGGAGCTGAGGTCAGGGCCCGGGTCCGTGGCCTTAAAGTTGAACTTTGGTTCTCCGACGCGCTTTGCAGTGTCTGCCGATGAGAGGCATTACAGGGTTGCGGATCCCTCTCCCTGATGGGAATCGGGGCCTGTTTTCCTCCAGGTAGCGGCCATTCCCATTGTAGATGCTGGTGCCTTGACAGGCAGCTGGCGCAGCGCCTGGCTTTACTGATGGCTGCACTTAGGCTCTGTAGCTGCTAAAAGCTGTAAGGAATTCACAACACCTAAGTACGAAGCTGGAGCTGATGTGGTTAGCATCTTACGTCGCGGCCTTAACAGTGGTTGTGTGTCTATACTCTCTGACCATTTGATTAGCACTGATGGTTAAGGAATTGAAAACATTTAGTTCAGTGCAGTAGAGTTTCATTTCTCTATGTGGGTGTCAGTGTCAGGTGACGATCCATTTGCTGTATTTCTCATTCTGGAGGAGCCAGTAGGCCTGGTTAGCAAAGGCATTGGTCATTAACTGTTACAGAGAAATCACACTTTTTTGGCCTTGGGTTTTTTGTATGGAAATGATGTAACCCTTTTCTACAGACTTCATCAACCTATGTGGGTTGTGGTTTGTGACATTAAGTGAGATGTATTGGAAAGCCTTTTATCAGAAGATGGATATAAGGAGATATTATTACATAAATGAGTCTAGATTCTCTCTGCAAGAAAAGTTGGGCCACTTCCTAGACAGATGCAGTGCTGGGAGATGGATGGCCTTTGTTCCTGCCTTGCATTAGAGACTCCTGGTTCTCCATAGAACAGCTGAAATGGAAAAACACATGGCCAGGTCATGCTGGGATGTAGGGGTGTCACCATTCAATGTGTGGGGTCCCCCAGTGCGTCTGTATCTGCTCTCCAAGGAAGAGGACTCGGGACCAGGTTTCATAAATATTTTGTTTGTTGCAGATGGCAATCATAGCGGTGCTGTTGAGCCCTGAAGCCCTATTCCGAAGGGAGGGCATGATTTCCTGCTTGTTCTCTCATCCCAGTGGTGCTGATAGCTCAGATCAGCTCTGGTGCTGAGTTTTGCTGTGAGTTGTGACATTTGTAGCCAGGAATTTGTTAATGATGATAAAGTACCGGAGTTGGTGCATTTTTTTTACTTTTTCTCCCATGAGTAAGTAGACTGAGCATTATCCTGGCAATAATAATCAGTGCAGACATTATACGCCAGGTCTCTGCTAAGTAAGCCCTTTCCTTACATTTCTCATTAAGTGGGAGGGACATTTTTAGTGTCCTCATCTGAGGCATGAGGAAACTGAGGTTTAAAGAGGTGAAGTGTCTCGCCCAGGGTCCCACTGTAGAGCTGGAGTGTCACCTGTACTCACCAGCATGCCAGGATGCTCTTGTGAGTGGAACACAAGGGCGTTTGCGCTGGCCGTTAAGCATCTGGATTTTCGGGTAACATGGGGGAAGCAGTTTAGAGCTAGAATCTGTGTCATGGTGACTTTCCAGAGAAGGAGTTCATTCTGTTTCTGGACCAAAGTCTCTTCTTCAGCCCCGAGGGCTTCCAAGGCTTAAGACTTAGGTATGGAAGATGTGACCAAGGACGAGCTACAGGAGGCTGCCTGCTCTTTGCAGGCCGGAGCCAAGCCTAGTCTCGGTCAGCGCTCTGCTTCCACCACCCAGAACCAGGCCTTGTGCGCCCCGGGGTGGGCTGGCTGGAAGGAAGGATGGATGGAAGTTAGCTTGAATGGGAAGCATGAAGGAAGGATGAATGGATGTTTGAGTAGAAGGGGAGTAGTAGATTGAGAGAGTGATAAATTAGAACCAGAATAAAAGAAAGATAGAGGAGCCATAAGAGTTTCCAACTTTTGTACAGGGTGTCCCTGTTGAAAGTTCACTACTTTTTGCTGTTTCCCATATATTCTTCTTGTACACAGATTTCATTTGTATGTTTATTTAATAGACATTTTTGACCACTAAGCCAGATGCTGGGGATAAACGAATAAGACATGATCCTGCTCTCAGAGAGGGAAATTTAAAATTTCAGGAAATTTTTAAGCCAGTGAACTCATTGCCTGAGCATTAGTAGAGAACACGGGAACCCTGCCTGGAACGTCCTCACCTGCAGAGGATGCTCTTGGAGCAAAGGGAGCCATCCACCAGCAGTCTCATCTGGTGTTCACCACAAACAAGGAAGGTCTTATGGGATCTTTGTTTTTCTTTGTCAAAACATTGTTTTTAACTGTTTCCCACCTTTCTCTGAAGCTTTTAAGTTTTGGGCTGTTATTGTTTAATAGAATGTTGTAATCTCGCATAGAATGACTCATATTTCTTTTCGAACCAGGATTGATCGTAAGATGTCAAGTGCTCACACCAATTACAAACTGGATGAGGCTCAGGCTATAATGAGCGAGCTCAGGACCATCAAGAAAGCCATTTGTACAGGCGAGAAGGAGAGGCGGGATCTGATGCAAGTAAGAGGCCCGGGTGCTCTTCAGAGCCCACGTCCGTCTGTCTGCCCACCTGCTTATCTCTTAACTTTATTTAATAATTTAAAAAAAATATATATATATATATATTTACTATATATATTATATATTTATTATATAATCATACATATTTTAAAGACATACATGTATGTATGATATATGTGTATATATATATCTTCTATATATGTGTATGTACATATTTATAAATATTTAAAAATATGCGTATTAGTTTCCTAGGGCTGCCATGACAAAGAGCCACAGACCAGGTGGCTTACAACAACACAAGTTTATTCTCTCCGAGTCTGGAGAACAGAAGTCTGATATCAAGCTGCGGCAGGGCCACGCTCTGTCTGAAGGCTCTAGGGGAAGCTCCTTCCTTGCCTCTTCCAGCTCCTGGGGGCTGCTGGCAGTCCTTGGTGTTCCTCGGCTTGTAGACGTATCACTCCAGTCTCTGCCTTTGTCATCACGTGGTTTCCCGTGTCTCTGTGTATGAATTTTTTCTTCTTATAAGGACACCGATCATTGGATTAGAACCTGCTCTAATCCAGCATGACCTCATGTTAACTTGATTCCATCTGCAGGCCTTCCTTCCAAATAAGCACACATTCCAGGTTCTGGGGGTTAGGACTTCAACATATCTTGTTGGGGGACACAATTAAGGCCACAACAATGGGTGATACATTTGTATTGTTAAATAATCAAAATAATTCAACGTCTGTTTTAAGAGTTGCTGTCACCCCATTCTCTCACCTCCTGTAGCTGCTTTCATTAGCTTCTTGTACACCCTTCCAGACACTTGAAAGTGTGAACACGTGGCCAGCTGCCCTCGCAGAAAGCCGGGCCTGTGCCTGCTGCCCCGCGGTAGCTTCCGCACCTAACCGTTATGCCCTGTACCTTTTCCCGTCTCTGGACTCAGGGTTCCCTCCTTCCTGGATATGGCTGCATAGTATTCCACTGTGAGGACAGACTGTTTTTTCATTGTAGCTTTATATTCCGTTATTTTTTTGCCCCTTGAACTCCTGCAGTTTCTGTTATTTTTAGAAACAGCTGAGTTTTTTCAGAGACCCATGCCGGGCTCCTGCTCGGTGCCGGAATGCATCTGATGCTCTCTGTTGTGGCTTTTCTTTTCGCCTCAGCACACCGAGTGAGCACCTGGTGCTGGGAGGCATTTGTCTCGATTCTGTAGCATGTAAGACACAGAAGGACATGGGAGCAAAGCTCAGACTCGTAGGCCGAGTGCAACAGGTGCGCACATGACTGCCTTGCCCAGCAGTGCTTCCTAACGTCAAGGGCGTGAGGCTGGAGTGTCCCTAGGCTGCTCGTTCAATTGCAGATTACCAGACCCTACCCCAGGTCTCCTGGATTAGACTGTCTGGGGTTGGGACCCAGAAATCTGTATTTTCAGATGCCCTGTATTTCCAGGTCATGAGAGGTAAACGGTCAGTTGTTAGATTTTCTCCGAGGCCTGGTAGCAAGGAGAACAGCGGCCGTCTGCCAAGGCCTCTGTGTGCCGCACTGGGTGAGGTGCTCTGCGGACATCACCCATGTGATCCAAGCCCAAACCCTGGTGTGAAGCAGGTGGTACTTCACCCCAGGGACATGGAGGCCTCGCCCGGGACGTGGAGCTGGTGTCCCTGCCCCGTTCTTTCTGAGAGTGCAGAGCTGGCCAAGCCACCCAGTTGCCTTGAGTGGGTTCCCCACCACGGAGGCTGGAGATAGAATTTCTGGAAGAAGCTTCAGACCCCAGCATCTTCTCTGAGATGCTCCAGGGAGACGCACAGGCAATGTCTTCATCTAGTAAAATCAAATAAGTTGTTTCATCTTTGTTATCTGACTGTAGCAATCTTGGCCCATTCCAAGACGCCTTTGTCTAGATCCCGAGGCAGCTACCTGGGGTACACTGCACGTGGGCGTCTAGTGTCTGCAGGAATATCTGCTGAATGTGAATGCATTCACAAGTCTTTTATTTAAAAAATTTTTTTTCATGTTTTTCTCTTATTTTTTTAGATTTCTTTTTATGGGGGTATAGTTGCTTTTCACAGGTCTTTTAAAAATCTTAGAAAATCTCATTTCTCTTTAACTTTTACCCAAAAGCGTTCCCTGTACCAGAATTTACGCTTACTCTAATTTTTGGTAAACTGACATCCATGTAAGATAACTTTTGACCCTGTAGCATTGTGACTGAAAAGCCAGGTTATAAGAATATGTAAATATCGTCTGGGAGCTGTTTTCACCTTCTGTGTGGTACTGAAGACCTCAAGGCGGCATTCGTCTCTGTTGGACTTATTTATTGATAGACTATTTTGGATGGAAATACTTTCCCCCCTCCCCTTTGCTCTATTGAGGTACACTTGACAAATAAAATTGTATAAATTTAAGGTGTACGTGATGGTTTGATATACACATCTATTGTGAAATGATTACCACAATGATTACCACAATAAGTTAACACATAACTAACACAATTAGTTAACACATCCATCACGTCGCACGGTTACCTTTCTTTTTACATGGTGAGGACTTTTAAGATCTACTCTCTTAGCAACTTGCAAACATGCGCTACAGTATTGCTAACTATACTCACCATGCCATGGACATGAGGTTCATGAGATCCGGGGACTTATTCCCCTTACAGCTGGGACTTGGTACCCTTTGACCAGCATCTCCCCATTTCCCCCAACCCTCCAGCCCCTGGCAACTGCCTTTCTACTCTCTATTTTGAATTTGGCTTTTTTGGAGGGAATGCTTATTTTTTCTTTAGGAAACACAAAGGTTTAAAAAACCGTAGAAGTGGTACCACAGTTGTTCTCTATGTTATTCACATGCTGCCAGGAGGACTCAGTTGCCGTCTGATTTAAATTACTACGAGTTTCATGAAAGGTGCATGTGCTGATCGACATTTCTTTTGAATCTCGTGAGAATGGAGTTGGGGCCGGCCTGCTCTCCAGTAATGAAGCTGCCGACCTGGAACGGGAAGGAAATGACCGCTGTGAAAGGGAAGAGAAGCATCGCCATCGCTGCTCAAGTCTCTTGTTTCATTCTGTTTCAGAGCCTGGCCAAGCTGACCGATGGCTTCAGGAATAGCTGTTCTCTTACCGACCCTCTGCAAGAGCTCCCTCCCAGTGCAGGCGCGCTGGGCGAGTCTTTACCTCACCAGTTCTGCGATGCTGGGTCTCAGACTGAGGTCATCGGCGAGGTACGCTCACTGGGCAGGGGGAGGAACCGAGTGTGCCCAGAGCGAAAAGGACTGCTTTCGTGTGGCCGTCACCCATTTCTTTAAATTTTCCACTTTCCCTTCAAAAATGTTTTGGCTTTTGTGCCATTAAGTTTGAAGAAAGAATATTGTTTTCCACTTCTAGCCATCTTGAAGGTTCAGGGGCCTGGGAGGCAATTGAATGGCTTATTACCTCTATCCTTGTGATTCGCATTCTTAGAAAAGGCAGAATCCTTTTGAGAGTTGAGTCTAGATGTTTCTTGGCAGACCTATGACTTTTTAGAGCATGGATCAGCTAACCTTTTCTGCCAAGGTCCAGATAATAAGTGTTTTAGGCTTTGCTGGCCATGCAGTCTCTGCCATAGCTACTCAGCTGTGTTGTCATAGTACAGAAGCAGCCGTTGGCCATATGTGAATGGGTGGGTGGGGCTTGTTCCAGTAAAATTCCAATAAAACTTTATTTACAGAAAGAGGTGGTGGGCCGGATTTGGCCTTCGGGCCATAGTTTGCTGAGCTCTGGCTTAGGCCAGTGATTTTCAGAGGCTTTGTGGCTGTGTCACTCTTGGCTTATACTTTGATGCTATTTCTTATTCTTCTAAGAGAATGTCAGGAAATTGAATTGAATTGAAATTAATTTTGTTTGGGACTTGGAAGAATTTCATAATGCCCCTTTTGATAATTAGTAAAGCCTGGAGTTAGCCACAAAAACAAAATTGGCAACCATCATTTGAAGCAGGGTGGTGAATACTTAAAGACACTACTGTTGTAATGGCATTGAGTGAAGTTTTACATTTATTTGTTAGAAATGGAAAAACAGTTTGGATGGCTTCTTTTTCTTAGGGCTTACTAAGTAAAGATGAAATATCAATGGAATGCAGAATGCCTTCCTAAAATTAAATAAATAAAAAGAAACAAAAAGAAAGGAAAACCATTGACTAAAAAACTCTGGATTTTAAATAATTAGCTGATATTTTAAAATGTCGACAAATAGTGCCTCTTTCAGGGGAGTATAATATAGGAAATAATGCCTCTGTGTCTTGGATGTCCTGAACTGCCCTATTTGCTGTGTTCCCCTCATTGTTCTCAAAAGTACACTTGGACATTTTTGGACTAGGTATCTTGGTTTAAAACAGAGAAGAATCTGTAAGTCAAAAATGTCTGGCATTTTTGCCTAAAGATTTTGGCATGAGAGACGGAAAGAAGTATGATACTTACTGAATTCCATGAATAATTCATTGCTGCTCAACATAAGGTTAGAATTAGAATTTTTAGAGACTCTTAACTAGTTTGAGAGCAACAGGTAAGATCGAAGGTTCTGTAATGATTTAGCTAAGACTTTCTAAAAATGTCAGGTGGGGAGTGGCTGGTTATACAGCTATAATAACTTCAGCAGTAAATTATCATTGTTTATGAGTTTACTGGGGCTGGCCCTGGCAGCTTCATGGCTGTTACCTCAATTTACGTAGTGGTTTCCATCTTCTTTTGACAGACGAGGGGGTCAAGGTGCCAGGTTACCTAAGGTCATGTAGCCAGGGAGAGGCAGGTCTGGGTTTGAATCAATGTCTCTGATCCCTAAACCTCTGTGTTTTCTACTACATCATGTTATAGAAAAATATATCAAAAGGCTATAACTGCATTAGTTAGCTATTGCTGCATAACAAAACATCCCCAACCTAGCATTTTAAAACAGCACACTTTTATTATCTCACATTTATACTGTGGATCAGGAAACTGGGCTGTGTCCTCTGCTTCAGGGGCGCTCAAGAAACTGCAGTCAAGGTGTCAGCCAGGGTTGCAACCTCATGGGAAGGCTTGACTGGGAAGGGTCCACTTTCAGGCTTGCATGATTGTTGGCAGGATTCAGTTTCTCACAGGTTGTTGGACTGAGGGCTTCTGTTCCTTACCATATAGACCTCTCTAGCACGGCAGCTTGCTTTGTCACAGTGTGGAAGCCAAGAGAGTCTCCAGCAGGAAGGAAGTCACAGTCTTTTGTAATCTAATCACAGGAATGACTTCCCATCATCTTTGTTGTATTCTTTTGGTTAGAATCAAGTCATGGGTCTAGCCCACTCTCAAAGGGGAGGGATTTCACATGGGATGAATCCCAGGAGGTGAAGGCCATTGGGGGCCGTCTTAGACGTCTGCCTACCTCATGTAGTTATCACTTTGAGTTAGTTTTGTGGGATGGGCACTGATGTAATCAAACATGCTTTTGGAGCCCACGGCTTTGCAAGCACAGATTTGTAAGCAGTACAAGCCTAATGTTGGAATTTAGCAGTTGGGGTACATGTTGTAGGGCTATGTAGGATCCATGAAGCAGGAACCTGTTGGATCCGTTTGGCTGTAGGCTTTTTTTTTTAATTAAAATGTCCATTTCATTCTCACAGAAGAGTGCAAAATCAGAGCTTAGAGGTTCATAAATAGCATTGAGAAGATGTTTAAGAAATGACATTTATTTGTCTTGATGGTGAGTCGGCTTTAGGGGTCTCTAATGAACAAGGTGACAAGTAGCTCAGATCCAGTGTAGAGAGTTTCTGCAGATGCGGTGCTGCAGCCTAAATGCATTTACATTGAGGACACTGTGGAGAGAGGCCTTGGGTGAGGCTGCTGAAATGTGTAAAATCGTGACACATCTCATTGGCGAATGCTTATAGTCTCGTATAAGGCATTTCTTCTTGCCATTCAAGGCGATAAAGATATAAGGAAATTCCCCATTGACCTGTCTCAAAACTCGTATCAGTGAATTCATTGCCAGTCATACAAGTAGAATATTTCCAAATATTTGTTGACACGAGGTCATTTAAAAAAATAAAGACTTAGTAGTGGCCGTAAGGTATGGCCGAGTAAGGTCAGATCTACAGATGGAGCCGATTTATTGAAACTAGAGTCATATATTTCCAGGAATGAAGGAAGAAGTAACCAAGGTGAGCTGCAGTTACCTCTCATACAGGTCTTGTTTGTTTTGTTTGGGAATTTGTTGGCTTCAGTGTAATTGGTATGAAAATATTTAGGTGCAGCTAGTGATCGCATCAGAGCTCCTCATTTCAACCCTTGACTCCTGAGGCGAGGCGGCCAGTCCCAGGCTTTTCCGTGCCTTCCTTCCGTCCTTTCACCTTTGATTCTTTAACAGGCTGCATAGCAGTCGAAGGAGTCCCGTAGCCAACACCTCACACAGCTAGTCCGTCTTCTTCGGATCTTGTGACTTTTTAGGAGAACACCATTGTTTTGTGTTGATTGAGGAGTGAGAGCATATACTACACTAGGCGGGATGATATTTTTTGCTTTTCTATCAACTTTGAGGAATTCCCTATTTCTTTTAAAACTTAATTTGTTGTTGTTGCTTGGAATCACACAATAGATGAATATACTTCCACTGGTTTAAAAAAAAAAAATCCACCAGTGTTGGGACAGCAAAAGTGTTCCCAGCCCCACTCCCAGCCTCCACTGACCAGAGGTGGCGGCTGTTATGCGGTGTGTTTCCTTCCAGACCTTTGAAAAGTGGAAATTGGAAGGTGAATTAAAATATTCTTCATTGTTGCTGGAAGTTTAAGTGAATTTTCTATTTTGAAAATATGTTTTTAATGTGTCTCCCCCATTTTTTTTCTTTCTTCTGTTCCACAAAGTTCGTCTTTGATGATAAAGCAAGGCTCGTGGACCGAGTCAGGCTTAACTGGCAGTATGAGGAAGCCAGAAAGAGGTAAGAAGCTCCTTTTTCAAACCTTGCCTCCTGCTTACTTCCTTTCTCCTGTGGAAAGCGGTTTCGCGGAGTTGCAGCGTGTGATTTATCCACTTCTTATCAGAAAGCAGTGTCTGATAGAGTACAGAATTAAGGTTCTTCATTTATGCGTAGCTTCTGAATACATGTGACAAAATTTCATGTGCATTAAAATGTGAAACTCAATATTACAAACAGTTATGAAGACGGGATTTAATAAAAACAGAGACTTTTCCGGCTCTCCTTATCCTCTCAGGTAGTTCAGAACCCCCTCCCTGCCTTCCGACTGAGCATCAGTCCCTCAGACCAGCTTAAGCAAACCTGGTTTTTGAATATGTGGCTGCTTATTCCATAGGTTAACAGAAAAAGCCACGTATCTTGGGTTAAAAGACAGTTTAGAAAGGATTAGGTCAACGGGTGATGGCGGTACCTAATCTACATCATTTTGATGGAGAGAATTGAAGCTCAGTCGCTTCTGTTGACCTGTGTTGTCCATCACCCGCCTTCTGAAAATCAGGACTTGACCTTGTGTGTGCATTTTCAAAATGTGTCTTTCCCTCCCTCCCTCCCGGTCTCAGCCAGGGTTCATGGGCAGCACTGCCAGGTGAGCTGCCGGCCTCGCAGGCACAGTGTCTTTAGCCTGTCACCTTTCTACCCATGTGCACCGTGTTCAGTATTCTGACCCTGCCCTAGCTTTCATGTTCTTTTTTTAGGGACTTTCTCTCTTTTGTGCCTTCTGGAAAGAGTCTTAAAACCAAATTATTTCAAAATATGAGCTTCGGAAAGCTGTGAAGCCTATCTTTTTCAAAAAGTTTTGTTTTTTTTTATTCTTCTTAAAAAATATGGAACGCTTCACGAAAACCTTTCTTTAGTCACATATGAACTGCTGTCTGGGGGCGCGGGGAGGAGGAGCGAATGCCACGCAGGGGGCGGGCAGGGGGAGGGCGTGGTTCTGGAAGCGAAATAGGCGGGCCGCTCAGTATGGTGTATCATTCAGGGATGTCTGGAAATCCGCTTTGTTACCTTTTTAGCAAATGTAAAAATAGCAACAGAAGCAGATCATCTGACTGCCTGCTGGAGGGCCGGCTTGAGCTGCTGCGGCCTCTGCCCAAAGCACCTCTGCCCGGTCCTCCCGGCTCTTGCTCTTCACGATGTCCTTGATGCGCTCAAGGCGGGCACTGCACTTCCACGCAGACCGCTTCCCTCGGCGCCTGCTTCCCCAGCCTCACACATCCCTTCTCAGGAGCTCGCTGGCTGGCGTTTGTCAGCCGCTGTTATCTCTCCTCAATATTCCTCGGCTCCTTCCTGCATGTTTCTGCCGCACTGTGTGGGTGTCGGAATTTGCTGTGTTGCATTAAACTACAGAAAATTGACAGTTGCTACACTTGACGTAATCGTCACTGTTCTGCTGTGACATTTACCTACCACAGCGAGTGATTTCTTTGTTTTCCAGAGATGACGTCGGTACAGAGTGAGTAACTCTTTAAATATCGAAATAATACATTTGGGCTGAAAGTCCATTATTTAAGAAAGTTATGCAGGGGAGGACACTGCACTTCATCAGTATCTTCCAAATGGAAGGAGTATTTCAAGGTCACCAGAACCTTGTTAGGAAATGCGATGCAGCTGCAGAGGAGGGTCCTGTCCCCAGTGCTTCAACCTTTGTGGGACAGTAGGGGCTTCTCAGAAACGCCTTTCTGGGCTGCGTTGGCCGCATTTAGAAATCAGATGCGTTGTAAAGACGCCCTGGGGTCCTGGGTTGGCTGACAGAAGCACTGCCTTGTTCTTTTCCCACTAGCACAATGGTTCCCAATTGTGGGGCGGGGAATGGGGGAGGGGTGCGACGGCCCGACTTCACACCCGGCCCCCGGTGGACTTCTGGCCATGTCTAAAGACGTTGTTAGTTGTCACAGCTCTGGGGTGGGTGCTCCTGGCATCTAGTGGGTAGAGACCAGGGATGCTGCTCAGTATACTGCAGTGCACAGGACGGCCCCCAAAAGAGAGTCATCCAGACGTCACTGGTGCTGAGGCCGAGGGCCCCTGCCCTGTGCTGGAGGATTGTGACGTCTTAGCCGGGCAAATCTGTATGGGTGACCCCAGCAGCTTCACACACATCCCGCAGCAGTGGGCACAGAAGCTGCTGCAAGGCTGGGAGATTATACTTCTGCCCAGCACCTGCCCTGTTCCAGGTATTGCAAAGAAATTCCGTGGTTTATGTGATGTCATAAAGGCATATGGTCTTTGGGACTTCCCTGGCGGTCCAGTGGTTAAGACTCCGTGCTTCCAATGCAGGGGGCCCGGGTTCAATCCCTAGTCAGGGAACTAACATCCCACATGCCGTGCAGCTCGACCAAAAAAAAAAAAAAAAAAATATATATATATATATATAGTCTTTAACCTGTTTGGGAGATAAACTCCCCCACAGCTAACAGAAATATGTGAGGGTGCCAGTGGTTCTGCCTGGGGGTGGGGATACCCCAGGCGGTATCTGGGGTGTGTGTGTGTGAGCACACACAGTACATATATGTTAGACACACAGGGTTCAGAAACATGCACATATATGCTTGTACATCTATGTACACATAAATAATACATGAATACATTGTTTTTGTCAAAGATGCAATCACTGGAGACCTCCCATCTTATCCTCCTCTCTAATCCTACCTCTCACCATTAATGATTTGCTATGAAACCTTCCAGTTCTTACCTAAACATTGAAATAAATTAAGCTCAATATAGTTAAATACAGTATATGATGCATAGCTTTTACAATGGTTATAGCCATCCTCTGCGGATGGACATCTAGATGATTCCAGTTTTTCCTTTTCACAAATGGTGCACGTCTATTTATAGTCCCCAGCCTTGCAGAGATGGCTGTTTCCTTCGACAGATACATAGCAAGGGAACGTATGGGTCTAAAGACATGTCCATTCAAAGTTCGGATAGATACCAGTGAATCGTCTTCCAAAGTAACTTACACACTTTACACTGCCACCAATGGCAGTTGAGAGCCCTGATTTCTGTATCTCCTCCTCATCGTTAAATACCACCATTCTTTGTAAATTTTTCTGGAGTGATGGGCATAGATGTTCTGTCACTTGTCACGTGCTTTTTCCCTGGTGAGAATGGTGGACTTTTGCACTCATGGTGCAGTTCAGCATAATTTTGTGTGACTTTTGGTTAGTTAAATGCCAGGTCTGAATTTTTTTTCAGACAAGTGCTCCTTTCAAAACGTGTTAGATCCCATCATCCACTAAGGGGTGGGGGTGGGTTTTGCGCCCCACCCCCCACCCCCGGGGGGATGTTTTTGGTTCTCCTGACTGGAGAGAGGGTACTGCTGGCATCCCGGGCGGGAGCCCAAGGACGCTGCTAAACAACGCACAATGCGCCGGACGGTCCCCCCAGCAAAGATGTGGGTAGCCCAGAGTTTCTTTTTGCCTTCGAGAAACCTTACTCTTGAGCTTCTTATCTTGCTCCGAAATCCCTACTGTGTGTGGACATCAAGGGCTCAGGAGCAGGTCTTCCACGGACTCAGGGTGTTAGCCTCGTCCAGCCACGTTGGCCCCCCTGCATGCCAGGCCTCACACCGTCCAGGCGCGCTCCTGATTTAGTGCTTGGAGTTGGCAGAAAAATGCTGCCCCAGATGGCCTAATCCGCAAACCTGTGACTCTGTGCCTTCCATGGCAGAAGGAACTTTGCACATGGCCTCAAGCTAGAGATCTTGAGATGGGGAGATGACCCTGGATTATCTAGAGAGGCTCAGTGTAATCACAAGGGTCCCTATAAGAGGGAGAAGCAGAGAAGGAGATGTGAGGGTGGCAGGGCCTCGAGCCAAGGAATGTGGGCAGCCCTTGGAAACAGCTGCGAAATGGCTTCTTCCTGAAGCCTCCAGAGGATCACAGCCCTGCTTGCCCATTTTTGACTTCTGACATCTGGAACTGTAAGGTAATCACGTGTGTGTTGTTTTAAGCCACTAAGTTTGTGGTAATTTGTTACAGAAACAAAAGGAAACTAATACAGTGCCCCCTGCCCTCCCTCGCTGTTTCCTCTGCCTGCAATGGAATGCTTGGCCTCAAATGGTCACGTGGCCTCTGCTCTCCTTCTGGTCACTGTGTCAGAGACACTTCTCTGATGATCCTGAATAAAGTTGCACTCCCATCCCCACCCCCATCACCCTGATTCTCCCAGCAAATGTAATCACCCAACCTGTTCTGTACTTATGTGTTTGCTTTTTTATCGTCTGTCTTTCCCTGCGAGAATGGGAAGCCCATGAGGGGCAGGGGTTTTTGTCTGTTTAGGTCATTGCTATAATTCCAGCAGCTGAGTACCTGGTGAATATTTATTGAATGAGTAAACAGGGGTCTGCTTTGGTCACGCTTGCTCTTTGGCCTTCACGCCTGCGAGTGGGCGAGTGGACAGAGTCCTGGGGCCCAGTCAGCTCCGGGCCAACTGCTGTGTTCCTGGCTCCCTTCCCCAAGGCCCTCGTCCTGGTGTGAGCCGTGGGATATGTCCCCTTGACTTAAGAGGAGAAAGGGCATCTAGACATGCATGTCTAGGGATCTGACGGAGGCAGGGCACAGTCACCTCATACATCATCATTCCAAGCTCGGCTTATGCTTCCTGGGCCTTCACGGTCATTGGAAAGGGCTTGTGGTCTTGGAACCCCCTGTGATGCGTCCTGTTCTTAGGTGTTGGAGAAAATGGCATTGGAGCTGGGCCCTGAGGGATGCTGGAATTCCGGCTGCCCATACGTTGAGGAAGGGCTTTCTCAGTCCAGGGGGAGCAGGGATCAGGGCGGAAAGTTGTATAATGGCAAATTTCTTAGGGGTCAGGGAAGAACGGCCCCAGAGAGAGTTCTCTGGGGCTCAGTTTATGGTCGACCACTTAGAAGATGGATCTCAATTTTTGATAATCAGTTCGGTGCTTTCATTGTACCTTCTCCTGCTTAAAAACATCCTTGAAGGGGCTTCCCTGGTGGCGCA